TAATCTCATAATCTGTGCTCTCATTTATTTCATGTTAGGGATTTTTTTACAAACTCTTTTTTTTTCATATATATATATATATATATATATATATATATATATATATATATATATATATATATATATATTAAACTATACTAAAAGCAAATCCATCCATAACACTTGTTATTATCTTGTTAAAAAAATTTCCGCCTTTTTTGGTTTTTTTTTTATTTTGCAAAATCTAAAAGTAAACTATTTATACTTCATGATATTTTTTTCGAGTTTGACAATCATATTCCATATATACCCAAATATCTTTTAAATACTTTATGTATTATTTTGTAATATTATTATAAAAAAATATTTAACAACTGTGCATTGCACGGGATTTTAACCTTATATAACAATTGTGCATTGCGTGGACAAAACCAGTAACACTCTACAAGTAACCCCAACCAAAACCAGTAACACTTATACAAGTAACCCCAAAATACAAGTAACACCTACAAGTAACCCCTGACAAAACCAGTAACACCCTACAAGTAACCCTTGCCGCACCATGTGGCCAGCCACATACAAAAATTTGTAATATATATATATATATATATATATATATATATATATTTCACATTACTATTTTCTTTAACTTTTAGGTGCTACTTTGATGTATTATTTGTGAGATATAAAATATTTCAAAGTTCGTTGCAACTAATAAGAACGGAGTTAATACTATATACTACGTATATATTAATCAATAATTCATTACCAATTTACTCAAAACCCTAAGCATTTTAGTAGAACATCTAACTTTTGTTCCTTTAAGATTAAAAATAATTAGCCTACTATTGAAGCATCGATCTAGGAGTACAAATTAATTAAATTAAAGCATGAACAAATTAAATAAATGTCTACCAATTCCAATTATAAATATGGAATATATATACAGGGAAATGTAATACGGAGTAATTAAAATCATCGGAATTTAAGGTTATCCATATATTATGCTAATATTTTATGCATTTTTTCTTCTTCTTCTTCTTACTATAACTGAAAAATAAAGTGAGCAGTGCATGAAATTTTTTGAAAAAAAATAAACGCAGGTGAGGCAGCCAACAAAGTTTGGAATAAATCAAAGATAGTATTTCCTCCTTTTTTGTTGCATAATATTTTTGCTTTATTTATTGCGGGGGAATTTCATACATTTCACGTGCGTTAGCGTTAGAAATATTATTATAAAAAAATATTTAACAACTGTGCATTGCACGGGATTTTAACCTTATATAACAATTGTGCATTGCGTGGACAAAACCAGTAACACTCTACAAGTAACCCCAACCAAAACCAGTAACACTTATACAAGTAACCCCAAAATACAAGTAACACCTACAAGTAACCCCTGACAAAACCAGTAACACCCTACAAGTAACCCTTGCCGCACCATGTGGCCAGCCACATACAAAAATTTGTAATATATATATATATATATATATATATATATATATATATATTTCACATTACAAGTAAAAAAATATGTATTATTTTGTAATATTATTATAAAAAAATATTTAACAACTGTGCATTGCACGGGATTTTAACCTTATATAACAATTGTGCATTGCGTGGACAAAACCAGTAACACTCTACAAGTAACCCCAACCAAAACCAGTAACACTTATACAAGTAACCCCAAAATACAAGTAACACCTACAAGTAACCCCTGACAAAACCAGTAACACCCTACAAGTAACCCTTGCCGCACCATGTGGCCAGCCACATACAAAAATTTGTAATATATATATATATATATATATATATATATATATTTCACATTACTATTTTCTTTAACTTTTAGGTGCTACTTTGATGTATTATTTGTGAGATATAAAATATTTCAAAGTTCGTTGCAACTAATAAGAACGGAGTTAATACTATATACTACGTATATATTAATCAATAATTCATTACCAATTTACTCAAAACCCTAAGCATTTTAGTAGAACATCTAACTTTTGTTCCTTTAAGATTAAAAATAATTAGCCTACTATTGAAGCATCGATCTAGGAGTACAAATTAATTAAATTAAAGCATGAACAAATTAAATAAATGTCTACCAATTCCAATTATAAATATGGAATATATATACAGGGAAATGTAATACGGAGTAATTAAAATCATCGGAATTTAAGGTTATCCATATATTATGCTAATATTTTATGCATTTTTTCTTCTTCTTCTTCTTACTATAACTGAAAAATAAAGTGAGCAGTGCATGAAATTTTTTGAAAAAAAATAAACGCAGGTGAGGCAGCCAACAAAGTTTGGAATAAATCAAAGATAGTATTTCCTCCTTTTTTGTTGCATAATATTTTTGCTTTATTTATTGCGGGGGAATTTCATACATTTCACGTGCGTTAGCGTTAGATTGTAGTGCAGCTAGCTGTGTTGCGTGCCCCGCAAATCTTAACTTTAATGCGGAGTATGACCAAGAATTCAAGATCAACAACCCCTTTATTTCAATGTTGCTGTTTTATTTATTAACGCATACTCTATTAGATGTCATATACGGAATGATGAGTTTTGTAACAAGCATGGCTTAAAAGCATCCACAATATAGTATAAAAGGACTTGCTTACAATTTATAAATAACTGGAGCTACATGCTCACCGTTGTGGAGCTACAAAGGTTGTAGCTATGGCCAAAGCTTGTAGCTTCATGGAGCTAGAGTACAAGGTTTTGCTCCACCCAATGCATTTAATTATATTGAGTAGTTTAGTATTTGTATGTATTTGTTTTTTTTTTATTTATTTTTTTCGTTTATAGATAAAGGACCAATTCAACCAAAAGTTTAAGCAGATGGTTGAGACCCAGTAATATGTTTTATACACTATCACTAGTTACAAACACATGTAGCTAGCCATTGTGGATCGATGTTGGCCCTAAAGCCCTAAATAGATATGCATGTCCGAGGAGTGTCAATTTACCTACAAATTCAATTTCAACATACGGAGTACGAGTATAGTTTAATTGGTGTTAGGTGGCCTGGCCGAGTCGTGCAATAATCTTAAACGACCGCATATATTAGACATTCTTCCTAATTTTCATCAAACTTCGAATCGATGATGATGATGATGATAATAATAATAATAATAATAATAATAATAATAATAATAATAATAAATAATAATAATAACTAATGTTATATGTAGGTAGGGGTGTCAATTCGGATGATCGGATCGGGTCTGATATGGTCGGGTGGGGGCGGATAAATTTTAAAGTTAAGTCATACTAAATTGTTATGTCCACGCAAGTCCAAATCTGAATCGGATATTTTTCGGATCGGGTCGGGTGTGCTTTTGACACCTCTATATGTAGCCCTTAAGGTTAAGAATAAGCATTTAATATCTTTCCTAAATTAATTTAGAAATACATGACAAAATTACGTGCAAATCAGTGTAATTGATACTCCGTATTAAGCAACAAAGATGTATTGATATTTGATCATGTTTTGGCAGACAGCCTTATTCTTATGGAATAATTAAGTGTTAAAGTTTTGCTTTGTTAGGAAACAAGGTTACTGCTAGTAGTAAATTTGTTACTCAAGGCAATTCATGAACTAGCTTTCAATTTATTTACTCCATTTTTTTTTTTTTTTGAATAGAACTAGCTTTCAATTCATATACTGTATTATCGTAATATATTTTATTTGTTTTTGGAAGACCTGTAGTTGACTGCCTGATTAAAAAAATTATAAAACAGAAATAGTTTACGCGTACTGTTGATATTTTGTCTAAGTAAACCAGATGCTCACAATGTAACAAGCTAAGTATTCAATTGAGGTAATTGCCCAACAAGATCGTACTTGTTATAGCTATTTTTTTATTTCGTTTGTGAAGGTATATGCTTTCTTCTTTTTATAGTAATCACATATTATATTCCTGATTCAAGAACTAACAAATTAAAGTAATAATAATTCTATCATTCATGAACCTAAAAACTGTTTATAACAACTATTATAAGCTTAAAAGAAAGATTCTGGAAACACATAGAATTTGTAATGGCATGGAATGACTAGAATCCATGCTAGAATTTATTTTTCAACTCCTGTATCCTCCTAATACTACTCTTCCAGGCCAGTTTCATATAAATTATCTCGTATATTCTCAATATATCATTTTTGATGTTTTTATCTGACTTGCTTGAAGCACATAGCACTTTAAATTCACATTGAAGCTAGCTTAGGCCTTAGGTTACATAATTTAAACTCAAAATCGTGGATAGTGAAATAAAGACCCTGTGTGGTACGGTATGCGGACTGATTAAGAAAAATAAAAAATGGGTATTTATGTGTTAGACAATGGGTTGCTTAACTTGCTTTGGATTGATAATGAAAATATATAAAAAGTGTGGCATTGATTATTAAATTTTACTTGAAAAAGAACGTTACATAAACTTGCAATTTGTGACTTGTCCTAGTTCTAACCAATTATATAGTGTTTTGCCACTAATAACAAGGTTCTTAATAAGGTTCTAATAGCTAGTGGTAGTGATATACTAATATATGATGACTCTACCCTTGAATAGAAGTTAAATGTATGGAGAATACTTTATTCGTTTCAATGTATTGTTATTCTTTCTTAAATACATACACTTAATTTGCACAATAATTTATATTTTTTTGACAAAAAAATTGTACAATTATTACAAGCCACTTGGATAACATATATGCGAATTAACAAGAGATTTATTCTGTTATTGACATTGTAAACCTGATGCCTAGAAGATATTGATGCTCTAACAAATAGAGAACTACAATCTTTAAGTTGTTTATTTAGATAATTAGATGAATTATACTTTTCAATTGAGTGAAGAATAACCTAATTCAATTCTTTTCCAGCTTATACTACCTTTAATGAAGAAAAAGTGTGGTGATCTCCTTCTTGGAAACTTCAATTTAGGGATTAATTCCTTAGAAGTAGTTAAGATTGATCCAACACGTCACTAGTTATTAGTAAGGTACGTCACATTAATTCCTTGATTTCCTCTGCTGGGGGAGGGGGAACTCGATCTGAAATCTGCAAAGATATATCCTAGATTCCTAGATATATATGGAGCACTATCTTATGCCTTCCAAAGTCAACCCTACTTAATTGTATTATACTCCACTATCATTGTCATTTGATATTTTCTTCAATGCATTTACATTTGAGAACTTAATTAACACAACTATATGTTTCCACATTAACATTCTAAATAGCAACTAATAAATGGGCTTGCCCAATTAACTCACTAAAAACTAGAAAAATGCAATATCAGCCCATCTTTGTTTTCAATGTTTATATCAAATAATGTATCAGAAATTTGGCCCAGTTGTTAAGGAAGCCAAATAATCAGATCCAAGCACGCACTAGCCAACAGGCAATGGAAAATATTTGCCAAATAATTCTTTCACGATTCATCATTTTCATGTTGCTTTCATTTCTCCGGCATGTGCATGTAAGATTGAGAAAGACTTCCTAAGAAGGTTTATGACTTTTTAGGATTATTTCACACCGATCATTTGTTTCCCTTTTGACAACACACCAAAGATAATATTTACAGCATAATAAAAGCACATAATATAATTGCATATTATACACTCAATTAAATTGTAAATCGCATCCTTTTCGCTAATATGTAAGCTTAGATCAATTATTAAAAAAAAAAAAAAATTAATGAAAACTATCCAAAGTAGAAGGCTTAGCAAACACCTGTATTTTCCACAATCTTACTCAATAAAAATATTCAAGATATGGAAAGTAAAACACCTCTCCCTTATCACAATTACTCCAATTATATAGATAAGAAAATTCATTATTTTATAGATATATATTATACTAATGTAGTAATGAAAGGCACCTATCAACTATCAAATACATAATCAATGGGTATATCATGAAAATAATTTATTAAATGGTTAAAAATGAATGAAGCCTACTACCATTGTACGTAGAATCAAATACTTTATTATTTATAATTATTTGATGCATGAACCCCCTATCATTCAATAATCTTGAAAAAAAATATTTATAAATTTAAAAGGTGTAGCTTAAAAAAACAGTAAAAGTAAAATTTAAGTTTGATAACATTAATTTAAGTTCGGCATAACTATAGTGAAGTAAATAATAGGGGTTAAAAATTGATTTTAGCACACTAATTATAAAAGCACAATTTCCTATCTCCTTCTCACATACAACTAAATAACCATTTCTTAAAGGAAAATAATAACTAACAAATATAGTAATGTAGAAGGAAAAAAAGAAAAAAAAAAAAAAAAGAGATGGAAAATTGGAGCGACAAGTGTGCAAATAAGTTTTGTTGACAATAACAACAACTATGAGTGGGAGTCAAACGCAAAAGCTGAAAAATGAATTTGGGCCACAAAGTTGATGTCATTTCCTAATAAATTTTGTAAAATCTCACATGGACACGCACTTTAGGGTCCACTAAGCCCAACCATAGTTGTTTCAAGGCCTGTATTTGCTGATGTGTGTCCAATCAGCTTTGTTGGGTCCCTCATTCACCCGCACCTTCCACCACTTTCTTTCGGTTTTGCTTGTGTTTAATTTGTGACTATCTCTGTAACTTGGAAGTTGTAACTATAAATAATGAATTTCCCTTCCTTCTAGTGCTTGCTTGAAAACTTTGTTAGGATACTCTTTTGTTTTGTAGTAAAATTACTCTGTTTTTTTAATAACCAAATTTCGTTCTATTTATATATTTTAATAACCAACATTTTGTGTCATACTCTATAAATTTTACCTATGCATTACTCCACATATAGTTTGTTTGCACTAGAATAAGTCATTATTCAAAACTTTTGGGAGACATATCTTCAATATCAACAATATTGATGAATTAGCACCAATGACTAGTTCATATAGACAAACCTTTTATTTTAAATAATTACTCCTCAATTTGTATATTTTTTTTTTCCTAAAGACTCACTTTCTGTGAAAAATTTATGAGTCAAGATAACAAAGGTAGTAATGCATATAATGATATAAGTATTAAGATGATCTGTTGATAATAATTAAAAGGTCGGATCATATATCAATATAAATTTATAGACTTGTCGATACATGTCAATATAGCATGACTTTTTATAACCAGTCCAGAATCCAGATACATGATACATAAACTTATAACATGACCCTCGGGCTTGCTCGTAGCTTTACCTAAAAGTATGACAACCTCCTGACTTCCTCTAGTACCTTCTAAAACATGCAATATATAATAGGTCCCATTCCAGAACTTTCTGAGATCATCCATTGCAACCGTTTGATCCCTGAACCAGGCCCCACTTAATTACGTGGCAGGCATCCATAACATTTCCTCAGACACTCCTAATTTCCTGCTCATTTCTATATAAACCAGTCTTCCTTCACTTAATCACCTCAGGAAAACAATTAACACTCAACAAACACAAATAAATTAAAGCATCACAAAATCTTTTTCATCTTTGATACACAAGCTCTCATCGAAAACAATGGCTCCAGAACTAGTAAAGAGTGTAGTTGACTCATCAGTGGGTTACACCACGAAACCAGCGAGTCAAGCCAGGAGAGCCTACGTTACATTTTTGGCTGGAAACGGTGATTATGTGAAAGGAGTGGTTGGATTAATCAAAGGATTAAGAAAAGTTAAGAGTGTTTACCCTTTGATTGTGGCGGTGCTCCCTGATGTTCCTGAGGATCACCGCAGGATATTAGTGTCTCAGGGCTGTATTGTTCGCGAGATCGAACCCATTTACCCGCCTCAAAATAATACCCAATTTGCTCATGCTTATTACGTCATCAACTATTCTAAGCTCCGAATTTGGGAGGTACTTATTCATAACTTACCTTTCTTTATTTCTTTCTTTTTTGGGACTTGTACAAAATGATTTTGTGATACATATATATATACACGTGTTTTTCGATTGGAGTCTTGTTATAACACCTGGAATCTGATTAGTACACCGTACTGCTGTGCATACGTTGGTAGTACTAATTATTTTAAATTTCTTGAATAAATTTGTTGATATATATGGAATTTAATTGTATGGCAGTTTGTGGAGTACGAGAAGCTGATATACTTGGATGGAGATATCCAAGTGTATGAAAACATAGACCATCTATTTGATTTGCCAAATGGGTATTTCTATGCTGTTATGGATTGCTTTTGTGAGGCATCTTGGAGTAAGACCCCTCAATACAAGATCGGTTACTGCCAGCAGTGCCCTGATAAGGTCCAATGGCCCACCGCCGAGCTCGGCCCACCTCCTTCCCTCTACTTCAACGCCGGCTTCTTTGTGTATGAGCCTAGTATTCCTACTTACCATGATCTTCTTAAGACCCTCAAAGAAGTCCCCCCTACCTCGTTTGCTGAGCAGGTATTATAATAGCTGTCACGTTGATAGTGTAATTTAATATTATGATAGCGCTTATTATTAGTAATAATGAATTAATGATGATGTTGATGCTGTATGTTGTAGGACTTCTTGAACATGTACTTTAATGACAAATTCAAGCCACTGCCAATTGACTATAACTTAGTGTTAGCCTTCCTATGGCGACACCCGGAGAAGGTGGACTTGAACAAGGTGAAGGTGGTGCACTATTGCGCGGCGGGTTCGAAACCATGGAGGTATACAGGGGAGGAAGAGAACATGGACAGGGAAGACATAAAGATGTTGGTGAAGAAATGGTGGGATATCTATCAAGATCCATCTTTGGACTACAACCCTGCTGCTGAAGCAACTGCGATTGATATGAAACCTTTTAAAGAAGCTTTGTCTAAAGCTGGTTTTGTTAATTATGTCACTGCTCCTTCCGCGGCTTAAATTAGAGTTGTTATTTAATCAAGGGATTTTCTGTTCTGATTAGCTTTTCTTTTTCTTAATTTTCCTTGACCTAATCGACCATTGACAGAGAGCTTACTGGTCAATTGGTTTTCTTTTTTTTAATTGTGGGCCTGGGGGAGGGTGTTTAATACTTAATAGTTTTGAGCGTTTATATGTTGTTGATAGGCTTGAAAGTATAGTGAGTTTTATAAATGTAATGTCCAGTTTTTGGTGGTTTGTTTTTAATCTTTTTGTAAGAGAAATTAATGTTGATCGAAATAAAAGTTTAGAAATTGTTTATAAATAATGGAATATCTTTAGTTTCAATTATTATTCTAAACTTTCCTTTAATTCATTTCCCTAATCTAAATTTTATCTTTGATTGAATATATAGACATATCATTTATAATTTCTTAAACATGACCAAAGCTTTACAATATTACAATATTATAGGCGAATTTAGCTTTAAATTATGAGATAATTACGCTAATTTCTTAAATCATTGACAAATTCATTAAACTTAATTGGTATGTAATCAGTAATCTAAGTCTCATGCATCTTTTTGTACAGATTGATATCTATGGATGTTGTTGAGCTAGTCATAAGTAGTTTTGCCAATTTATTTATCACCTGAGATTAACTAATCAACAGCCTTTCCATTGTAAACCAATGCAAGATCGATGCAACGAAAGACCAAATCATAGAGATGGGATTAATAAAAAATAGTTAAGCATGCAGAGATCATTAACAATTAAAAGTCGTTGAAGGTGACATACTGACATCAACGTTTTGATGTCTTTGTCATTTTAATTTATACAATTCAACCCCATTGTCCCCAAACGAATGTAACCATACATTTCTATTTGACTATTAGACATGCATGTTCAAAGTTGTATATAAGCGGTTGTTGTCGTCTATGTCCAATAGTATATATGTCCTACATACTATTAAACTTCATACAAACATATCCACGTACAGTATTAGATTTTCTTTTAATACTACATGCGTGTATGCATGCACATTATTCACATTTCACTACTACTATTAGTCTATTACAGTACTACTATACTTCTGTTGTACCATATGATATGTCGGCACATGCAATGCAAGGTCAAGTTGACATGCACTAGTTGTGCCACATTAAAGAAATAGAGGGAGAATGACTAGCGAAAATGTGTACTCGTATTAGATTGGTGATGGGCTACTCCACCTTACCAAGCAAGCAATTGGTTTTAGACTTTTAAATAAATAATCAAACCTTACTATACTAGCTTATATATATATATATATATATATATATATATATATATATATATATATATATATATATATATATATATATATATATATATATATATATATATGTGATTGTACATTTGTACTTTCCTCTAGTGTAAGTTTATGTGGTCCAACTGTCTAATAAAATTTACCAATATTAGAATATATACTTTCTATTATTCGATGATATATTATATGGTTCGAGATTTAAGTCATCTTCTAATTGATTAAGACATAGGGATCAGATTATTATATGATGTATACCTTTCTTTAAAAAAAAAAAAAAACTAACTTGCAAGTGGCTGGGAAATAATATAATGTATCTTCATGTGTCCAACTACTACGGAGTAGTATATTTCTTTTACTAGTAAGTGCTCCGGAGCAAATGAGTATAGTTGATCAGATCATACAGCATTAGTTAAATATTCATTCATGCCTTAATGTATAAGTATTAATTTCAAGGCAAGTGGATTAATTATATATGGACGTCAATCGCAGGTCTTTTATTAAATAAGAGCAAATGAGGGTAGTTGATCAGATCATACAGCATTAATTAAAATACAAGCGTGCAACAGTAGTTGAATTGAAGGTGACATCCGCGATTTGATCGATAAATTTATATGCAAATCAGATCTTTATATGCAAATCAAACAAACTGTACAACACTATATTATACAAGAAAATGTGGCCATACAATTTATTTGAAATTTTCAAATGGTATATTAAATATGCCCTATGCTTTTCATACTCGTAAAGTCGTAATATGGGTTTTTTTTTTTTCCTTTTCCTTTCGTCATTTGGAGGGGAGATATTTTAGAGAATGTATACAAGACTAGTCTATTATAGTATGCATGTAGATAAGAAACAATCTGGCCTGGATATAGCACTCGGATCAAATTCTTGGTCGAGTGAAGAGTTGCTTGTATTGATTTTAGTTTGGGTTCAATTATATTCGGTTCTATTGTTGATAAATTCATGGCTTGTTCTGATTTACTGATTGGAGCTGAACTAAACTGAATATTTTATGAGAGAAGGAAATTAGGAACTGAATAGACTGAACTGAAATGATTAGAGCTGAAGTGAAATGAACTGAAAATAAAGCTGAAGAGAACAAACCCTCATTATAAAACAACAATTATTATTATTAGTTATGGAGTATTAATTATTGTTTGCTTGTAGGTTCATTTCATGTAATTAAGTAGATTGGATAAATGCATTATTATTGTTGAAATGCCAAAAGAACTTCACAAGTGTCAAATACAAGTCTTGATTATTGGATGCATGCGTCACCGAGAGAGAATCTACTTTACAAGTATAAGAAGACTCCATCCCAAAATCATATGGAGATGTGGCAATAGGAAGAATAACCACTTAGCCTAATAAAATGCTTAACTTGTATTTTTAATCAATGCGCTATACTCGTATGAGAAGTTCATTCATTCTTCAACACTCCCCTCACATGTGAGTTCCCTTTTAATTTAGGATAAAATGATGCTTCAATGAGCCAGAGTGCATTTTCACATCCCTTAACATGGATCCAATTAAATTTGCCCCAAAGTACAATAAAGTATGTTATCCAAATGCGAGTCTCCACTTTCCGTTATAGTTCTAGTATTGATATGTACAAGTAGTACTAATTTAAACTTCACTCGTTTTACAATCTGATAATGGTTTTACCTTTGGATGTTAAAATTTTAGATAATTGACCTATGTTGTCAATAATACAAACTTCAATATAATGTCACGTTAGATTAATATTATTCGAGATAATATTGAGACTACACTAGTATGACTACATACTATGTCGGCGATAAATGTCAAGAAATAGTACATCTTTCAACCTTTTACTCTTTAGTCTTTAGTTATATAGCATGCATTGAAGAGATTTCAAGTTAAAAATTAAAGTAGCTAAGCTAGGTGGGTTCCATTGAATGCATTAGCCGTATTAGATATTTAGATCAATAATTTTGAACGTGCAAAGTAATGGAATCGGCGAGGACGAGTAGGGCTAGTTATTTGTTCTATTTAGGTAATATATTGTTACTAACAAATTGTTATTCTTACTTGAGCATATTTAAATAGGCCATAAATAAAATTTTAAAAAATGGAATCAGTGAGTTTAATGGTATTAGTAGAGAAAAGAGGCAAAAGATCAGCAAAGAAAAGGACACTGAGAAGTGAGAAAGATCCAATCGTATAAGAAGCTTGTAGGATGTTGACGGCTTTAATGGCTTGTAACATGATGGCTAATGAATTTGCGTTTAGACTAATGGAATTTAGGAAAACAACTTATCTTCTTGTGTTTAGACTAATGGGATTGTGAAAAAGCAATGTATCTTCTTGTGTTCAACTTAATATTTCCATCTTAATCTCCTTATAATAGTATCATTTTCCTTTACCTTTATAATAATCAAGTCTTGCTTTAGTGGTTTTGATTAAATTAAACAACTTAAGAATAATAGATCTGATGTACTCCTCCCTGGTTAGCTGCAAGCACGTATGACTGGGGGCAGTTTTCAGTATTAAGTACTACTGAAGGTACTTACGAGTCTACAACTGAACGAGAAAAACCTAAGAGTACTAAATTTTGCTGATTTCCCATTCTAAATTTCAGAAATTGTTACTCTTAAAATTATGATCCAAATTTATTAAACTGAAAGGACAGTAAGGTGCCAAATTAAAGAATGACAAAATCATACCAAGTATTAGTACTTTATTAAACAAGTAGCAACCAATCTCATATTCTCATGCCTTGAACTTACACTACAGGAAGCAAATGACAAACTGAACAACATAAGCTATGAAAAACTAGTAACGTAAACTTAATAACAAAAGTGGCATAAAATGCTGGTGTAAACCCAACTATCCTCGTTCTAAATGTGAACCGGGAAGGTTTAGTCATTTAAACCTGGCAGAACAACAAGACAATTTAGGAGTTTAGATACAAGTCTTACAGTAATCAGTAATGAAATTCACACGTATTGCAGCTTACCTTGCTAGCTATGTTGTTGGACAGCCAGTCCAGACCTTCACCTGATGTTGCACATGTACTCTGGATATACCTGTAGCAGTAGTTGGATTTGCTCAGTACAAAGAAGTAAGGAAATGGTTTGATAAAGTGGGAGTGAAGAAAGGGAAGAGTAGTGCATTTACCAGTGTCGTTGACGGAGGGAATGGAGACCAAGCTTGTCGGTAATTTCTGCAGCATTCATTGCATTGGGGAGATCCTGTTTGTTAGCGAACACTAGCAGAACCGCATCCCTTAGTTCATCCTGCAAAAAGAGATTTAACAGTTCAAGAATCATTGCATTGCAGTGCAGTGGCATTGTCCATCAGGACCAGAGAGTAACTACCTCATTCAGCATCCGGTGAAGTTCATCCCTTGCTTCAACTACACGATCCCTATCATTACTGTCAACTACAAAGATGAGGCCTTGAGTGTTCTGGAAGTAGTGTCTCCATAAGGGACGAATCTGCAATCCAATATTTCCAATTAGTGTTTGACATGAATGTACAAGGAAATTAAAAATAATCCCACAATGAGTCTTCAGGATGCAATGAGTGATGTTCTATCTTTTCAAGGTTCCCAATCAAGTGTAAACGAAATACTGTTTTAAGTATGGAGATGTATACTGCATACACCAGCTTTCATGCAGAAGTAGGTCATAAATATAATTACACTCGCACATATTGCAGCATTGAATTGAGAAATGATTAGCATTTTGCTTCACCAATCTGAGCATCACAAGTTAGTCACAAACTAAGACAAAACCGTCTTAGGGGAATGCCTGTTTGTATTCTCCAAACCATATTCCCAATTGTAGCACAACTTTGTAAGTATCAAAATATGCACACTAGACATACTTACAGTAGTTACAGATTAATAAGTAAATAAATCAGCAAATTTTGACAACAATCAGAAAGATCATAGTGTGAGCTGTGAGGTATATATATATGTTGTAGTCGGCAAGCGCTACTCTATTCCTTCATGAGAGAAATATGTCTTTCGTTCTGCATTCTATCAGAGGATTGGGTTCCAAATAAAGCTTTTAATTCGGGTAAACGGGTCGGGTTTGGGTCGGTAAGAATGGGTCGGGTCAATAAACTATACGGGTTGGATTTAGGTTGGGTCATGCTTGAGTCGGGTCACGTCGAGTCATACTTCTTATCGGGTTTGGGTCGGGTAATAACAGGTCAGGTTACACCCGGGTCGGGTTTTCACAGGTTAAAACGGGTTAGGGTAATTCTTAGGTTCGAGTCGAGTTCGGTTCAAGTCAATAATTTGCGGGTTAGAATTAGGTCGGGTCATTCTCGGGTTTGAGTCGGTTCGATTCAAGTCAATAATTTGCGGATTGTTATCAGGTCGGGTCATTTTCAAGTCGGGTCATTCTCGGGTTCAAGTCGGGTTCGGTTCAAGTCAATAATTTGCGAATTATAATCAGGTTGGGTCATTTTCAAGTCGGGTCATTCTTGGATCCAAGCCGGGTTATGTTCAAGTCATTAATTTGCAGGTTACAATCAGGTCGGGTCATTTCCAAGTCAGGTCATATTCGGGTTTAACTAACTATAAATAGATAATTATCATTTTAATCAAGCTGATTATTTCCTTTGACTATAATATATATGACAATATACTAAGAAACTATACTCTATAATTTAGGGAGATGATTATCTCCTTTGACCATACAACAAATATATATTATATTTAACTCTTAAATTTGAGAATGATGCTCCTTTCTTTTGCTGGCATGGACCGACTTGATCTCCCTAGACAAAATGCTTTGATCAACAATAATAAGGTGATCTTAATTTCATTTAAGGTGATTTGAAATCGAGTCCAGAACAATTTGGGTTGAATTTAGGTCAGGTCAATAACAAGTCGTGTGAATTTCGAGTCAGGTTGGTAACAGATCGGGTTGAATTGTTGGGTCGGGTAAGTAATAGGAATATTGAAATTCAGGTAGAGTCAATAACAAGTCTGGTTGAATTTGGCAAGTTAATTACAAGTCGCGTTGATTTCGGGTCGGGTTTGTAACAGGTTGGGTTAAATTCGAATCAGGATAGGAATGGGTGGGGCTAAATTCAGGTTAGTAACAAGTCGGGTTGAATTCGGGTTTTCACTGGTTAAAACAGGTTAGGGTCAATTTCGGTTCAAATCCGGTTTGGTGAAAGTTAATTAAATTGGCCGTTGTAACCCGCTAAATCGGTGTAAGTTGTAAACCGGTAAATTGGCCGTTTAACAACAAATCGGATGGTTCCACACACCCAATTGGGCTCCCGTCAAGTATTAAGGACCATGGTAAACATTTCAGCAATTTTTATTTCCGGGCAAAAAGAAAAAGTCAAAAAATTCCAAAATTGAAGGCTAATATCCACACTTTTTGAGAAATTTTGGAGGTTTCGGGGCCCGGTGTAGAAAATCCTTTAGATTATAGGAGATAAATCTCGGGGTCATATAATGCCATTTGAAACCATATATGATCATTACATGTTGTCATAAATGTTCGTGGTAGACTTGAGTTAATGAAATCGGTGCAAGTTGTAAATCGGTAAATTGGTCGTTTGAAGGCAAATTGAATGGTTCCACCCACCCAATGGGACTTCCGGACGGTGTTAGGGATCATTGTAAACATTTCGGAAATTTTTATTCACGGGCGTAAAAAAGGTCAAAAATTACAAAATTAAAGGCTAATATCCACGCTTTTTGAAAATTTTTGGAGGTTTCGAGGACCAGTGTAGAAAAGTCTTGATGTTTTAGGGGATACATCTCGGTTTCATATATTTACATTTAGAACCATATATGATCATTATATGTTGTCATAAACGTTCGTGGTTGGCTTGCATTAATGAAATCAGTACAAGTTGTAAACCGGTAAATTGGTTGTTTAAAGGAAAATTGGATGGTTCCACCAATCCAATTAGACTTCCGGAAGATATTAGGAACCATGGTAAACATTTCGCCAATTTTTTTTTCGGGCGAAAAAGTAAAAAAAAATTACAAAATTGAAGACTAATATCCACGCTTTTTGAGAAATTTTGGAGGTTTTATGACCCGATGTCGAAAAGTCTTGAAATTCTAAGTGATACATCTCGGGGTCATATAATTCCGTTTGGAACCATATATGATCATTATTTGTTGTCATAAATGTTCGTTGTAGGCTTGAGTTAATGAAATCGGTGCAAGTTGTAAACCTGTAAATTGATCGTTTAAAGGCAAATTGGATGGTTCCACCCACCCAATGGGACTCTCGAACGGTATTAGGGATCATGGTAAACATTTCGGAAATTTTTATTTGTTGTCATAAATGTTCGTGGTAGGCTTAATTAAATGAAATCGGTGCAAGTTGTAAGACGGTTTATTAGTCGTTTAAAGGCAAATTGGATGGTTCCACCTACCCCCAATTGGTCTCCTGGAGGATAATAGAGACCAAGGTAACCATTTCGGCAATTTTTGTTTTCGGGCAAAAAACTAAAAAAAATTCAAAAATAGAAAGCCAAAAATCCACGTTTTTGAGAAATTATGCAGGTTTCGGGGCCTGGTTTCAAAAAGCCTTTAAATTAGGGGATACATCTTGGGGTCTTATAATGTCGTTTGGAATCATTTATGATCATTATATGTTGTCATAAATTTTTGTGGTTGGCTTGATTTAATGAAATCGGTGCAAGTTGTAAACCGATAAATTAGTCGTTTAAAGGCGAATTGGATAAATCAGCCCACCCAATTGGACTCCCAAAGGGTATTAGGAACCATGGTAAAAATTTCAGCAATTTTAATTTGCGGGAGAAAATAAAGTCAAAAAATTCAAAAATGGAAGGCTTATATACACACTTTTTGAAAAATTATGGAGGTTTTGGATCATACTGTCGAAATGTCTTGAGTTTTTAGGGAATACATCTCAGGGTCATATAATGACGTTTTGAACCATATATGATTGTTACATGTTGTCATAAATGTTCGTGGTAGGCTTGAGTTAATGAAATCATTGCAAGTTTTAAATCGGTAAATTGACAGTTTAAAGGTAAATTGGATGGTTCCAACTTCCAACCACTCAATTGGACTCTTAGAAGGTATTAGTGACCATGGTAAACATTTAGGCAAATTTTATTTCCGGACCAAATTCAAAAAGTCAAAATATTCCAAAATTAAAGGCTAATATCCTCGCTTTTTGAGAAATTTTGGAGATATCGATGACCGGTGTCCAAAAGCCTCGAAAAATTAAGGGATACATCTCGGGGTCATATAATGCCGTTTGGAATCATATATAATCATTATATGTTTTCATAAATGTTCGTGGTAGGCTTGAGTTAATGAAACCGGTGCAAGTTGTAAATCGGTAAATTGGCCATTTAAAGGCAAATTGGATGGTTCCATCCACCAAATTGGACTCCCAGAGGGTATTAGGGACCATGGTAAACAACTCGGCAATTTTTATTTCCGGGCGAAAAAAAGTCAAAAAATTCCAAAATTTAAAGGCTAATATCCACACTTTTTAAGAAATTTTGGAAGTTTCGGGGCCCAATGTCGAAAAACCTTTAGATTATAGGAGATACATATCGAGGTAATATAATGCCGTTTGGAACCATATATGATCATTATATGTTGTCATAAATGTTCGTGGTAGGCTTGAGTTAATGAAATCAGTGCAAGTTGCAAACCGGTAAATTGGTCGTTTAAAGGCAAATTGGATGGTTCCACCCATCCAATGAGACTCCCGAACGGTATTAGGAATCATGGTAAATATTTCGGCAATTTTTATTTACGGGCGAACAAAAGTCAAAAATTACAAAATTGAAGGCTAATATCCACGCTTTTTGAGAAATTTTGGTGGATTTGGGGCCCGGGGTCGATAACACTCGAAAATTTAACGGATACATCTCGGTGTCATATAATGCCGTTTGGAATTAATAAAATCATTATATATTGTCATAAATGTTCGTGGTAGGCTTGAGATAATGAAATCAGTGCAAGTTGTATACATGTAAATTGGTCTTTTAAAGGCAAATTGGATGGTTCCATCCACCAAATTGGACTCTCGAAGGGTATTAGGGACCATGGTACACAATTCGACAATTTTTATTTTCGGGTGAAAAAAAGTCAAAAAATTCCAAAATTGAAGGCTAATATCAACACTATTTTAGAAATTTTGGAGGTTTCGGGGCCTGGTGTCGAAAAGCCTTTAGATTATAGGAGATATATTTCGGGGTTATATAATGCCGTTTGGAACCATATATGATCATTATATGTTGTCATAAATGTACGTGGTAGGCTTGAGTTAATGAAATCGGTGCAAGTTGTAAACCGGTAAATTGGTCGTTTAAAGGCAAATTGGATGGTTCCACCCATCCAATGGGACTCTTGGACGGTATTAGGAATCATGGTAAACATTTCGGCAATTTTTATTTATGGGCGAACAAAAGTCAAAAATTACAAAATTGAAAGCTAATATTGAAGGCTAATATCCACGCTTTTTGAGAAAATTTGGAGATTTCGATGTCTGGTGTCGAAAAGCCTCGAAAATTTAAGGGATACATCTCGGGGTCATATAATGCTGTTTGGAATCATATATAATCATTATATATTTTCATAAATGTTCGTGGTAGGCTTAAGTTAATGAAATCGGTGCAAGATGTTTATCGGTAAATTGGTCGTTTAAAGGCAAATTGGATGGTTCTCATACACCAAATTGGACTCTCGAAGGATATTAGGGACCATGGTATACAATTCGGCAATTTTTATTTCTGGGAGAAAAAAAAGTAAAAAAAATTCCAAAATTGAAGGCTAATATCCACACTTTTTGAGAAATGTTAGAGGTTTCGAGGAACGGTGTCGAAATGCATATAGATTATAAGAGATATATCTTG